TATTAATATGGTATATTATACTGATTTATTTTCAGATGTTAACCATTCCTGAATAAATTTCACTAGGTCATGGTGTATAATATAATCCTTTTTGTATGTTGCTGGATTTGGTTTGCTAGTATTTTGTTGAGGGTTTTTAGATCTGTATTCATAAGGGATACTGGTTTGTAGTTTTCTTATGATGTCTTTGGTTTCGATATCAGCATAGTACTGGCCTCACAGAAGTCGGGAAGTATTGACTCCTCTTCTATTTTTTGGAAGACTTTGTGGAGAACTAGTATTAATAAAAAACTCATTATTAAGAACATTTTTTAATACACCAAAAAATAATAACAATATTATCATGAATTCCTGTGTATCCTCCCACCTAACTTCAATAATTATCAATACCCTGCCATTTTTATTTCATTTACACCACCCTCTCCCAAGACGTTACTCTTTTGTGGGGCTGAAATTATTTTAAAGCAAGTCCTAGACATAGCATTTCACCTTTAAATACTTCGCCATATATCTCTAACAGATAAAGACTTCTTTTTCTTTTAACATAATGAGAATTTATTTATTTCACCTAACAAAATTAGCAGTAATTCCTAATGTTATTTAATACCTGGCCCATGCTCAAATTTCCCCAAATGTTTAAAAAATGATTTTTAGAATTAGTTTGTTTAAATCAAGATCTAAACAAGGTCCAACATTGTATTTGGTTAATCTGACTCTTTTAATAACAGCCTTCTTTTCCCTTTTCTCCCCATGCTATTCTTTATTTGATGAAAAATCAAGGTCAATTTATTCTGTAAAAACTTTCCTATTCTAATTTTGGCTGTTATAACCTCATGTGTCTGTTTAGTTCATTCTTCTATCCTTCAAACTTTTAAACTGGGAGTTAGATCTAATTTGAGGTTGCTAGGAACTTACTATGTATAATATTGTATAATGTCTGGCTGTCCCACTTTTAGTGTTAACATTGATCAATGGGTTCACATGCTATCAGCCTGATTCATCTGTTATGAAGTCCCCTATCAACTTTTACCTAACAGCTTTAGCAACCATTGATAACTTGTGACAGGTAAATCATTTCAGCAGAAGTTTCAAACATGGTGATTTTCTAATTCTTTCAGTTCTTCCAAAGCTAGGATTTTTACCTTCACAATTCTGGACTCCAGGTCTATATTCCCAATGAAGGTGGCACAGATTCTAGGTGCCATTGTGGAAGCCCTGGGGGTGTTTTGCTTGTCACAGAAGTTGGAGGACCCTCCTGGCATTTATAGGCCAAGAGCAGAGATGCTGAAGACAGTAGAGTTCTGCATGACGAACAATGACCTGCATCCCACACAACTTCTGAATGTCTTATTAGACACTTACAAATGTGTAAAGCCTACATAAATTACTTGAGTATAAGGTCATTTTATATATGAACACAAAGTATTTTTTTCTACTGTTTTGACATAAGCACATTTTTCCAGGAATGCAACTATGGTGTAAATGAATAAACACCATCCAACCACTAGTTCGTTTGCAATTTTCCTAAGAGCCATTTACCATTTCAGAACAGTCATGTTAATAACAGCAACATAGTTTTGTGGTATTTGAGTTGTTGATATAATACATCTGTATAAACCAGTATCTGTTACTGTGGAATTCAAGATAATTCCACATACAGATGTAAACATCAATGTTTTCCAGTATACTCATGCTTAGATACCTACACATTGCAATATACATTATCTTATTATTTTCTTTTCTTCATTTATATTATAGTTATGACTTTATACTGATTTGTTTTGAAATGTACATTAGGCAAGTTAATAGATTATGAGTTCTACTTCAATATAGTAAAGGATATTTTAAAGAATATTTGTTTTCAAATGGGCAGTGGGTCTAAGAGAGCTGAGAATTACTATTTACTTCAGGTCTAAAAATCTTCTTCAACTTGACTGCTGTCCAGGGCTTAATCTTCAGTCTTGTCACCATCCACTGCTTAGATCATAGTGTTGGGAGTGAGAATACCTGAACCCTAGCCCTGGCCCTGCCTCTTTATTAGTGGCTGGTGACCTTAGGCAGGTCATCTTACCTCTGTTCCCTCTGTAAAATAAGAAGGTTAGATCAGATAAGCTGCTCCCAACTTTTTCAGCCACTTTTTACTTTTCTCTACTCTCTCTACAGGACCCAATATTTTTGAAGATTTTGCCAAAGAGACTTGCCAATTATTACTTGTAAAATTTAAATTGATTTCCCATTTTTAACTAACCAAAGGTATGTAATTGCAAACCAGAATAACAATGGTAGTTTACATTTATTAAGTGCTTATATGTGCTCTGCAGCCAACCCTCCCCACTAATCCCAGTATTTACTATCACAATGTGGGCTCCAAACTGGGAAGTGCTGTCTCAGCTAGAGACTAAGGTCCGCTAGTCCTTATCTCCTCTCTCAGAGCAGAAGTCTCCAGTCCTAATGCTGTGCATCCTAATTTGCAAAGACCTTGGATGTGACTTGCTTATACCCCATTTTGGAAAACTTCTAAAGTTGTTAGAGAGGTCGGGAACTACCATGAAATAAAATGAAATGGGTAAGACATAAGGCATCCTCTTTGGGAAAGTATAATACTTTTGCATCTCTGCATTTTCTCAAAAGCTTGGCCTGGAGCCTGAACAAAGAGCTTTGGAATGAATTAACTGTGAATCACCAGGGCAGCAATCCTGGATTACTGCATGTAAGCCCTGGAGGCACTGACCCTTGGGCAGACTCAAGGACTCTGGGTGGCCTGAAGATGCTGGGTAGTTAGGGGGCCTAGTAGCAGTGCCAAGAACTCACTGCTTCATTTATATCTTTATTTTCTACCTCCATGCACTAAGACTTTGACAATTTTGTTGGAAACACATGAGGACCAGCGAGGGATCAGTGGCAGGATGGGGATGCCTGGCTGGAATCCCTCTGCAGAAGCACGGGCTGCCCACTGTGGGATCTGTACTCACCAGGGAGGCTGCCAGCTGCTGTGTGGGTGGTGTGGAGGAATCCGGAGTGGGTCTACCTCACTGGCGGTAGCAGGGGGGAACTCTCGGTGGGGATGGCTTACATTAGCCTTCTCCCACTGCTCGTGGATAGGTGTGATGATTCCAGAAACAATACGAGACCGAAGCTCCTCACTGTTCTTGTAGGTCCTGTGGGAAGTAGATAAGGAGTCAACTGCTTGCAGTTGGCTGGCAACCCTGCAAACAGCACTCCGGCGGCGGCACTGGCGGCAGCCCTGAGAGCTCTTGACGTTGCCCTTGGCCTTTCTGCCAGGGTGGGAGTGGGCCGTCCGGCGGACCTCGGTGAGGGGGGCAACAGCCTGGCGCTGTCTCCGAGATTTGGGCCTAAGCTTCTTAGGCATCTGAGTTGCCCCTCCCCGTTTACCACCCCATTAGAAAGAGGTAAGGGTGGAGGGGCACAGGGCCTGGACTGGCTACTCTTCTGTCCTACCTCACCCAACCCCTCCCTCAGCTTCATTGTGTGTTCATCACGTGTCATGGGAAGGGTCACGAAAGGCAAAGTCTCCATGGGGAGGATGAACCAGGTTCCAGGGATAGGTAGTCAGGGCTCCAGGGATTCAAGGTCCACTTCTGTCACTAACTCAGGGGTCCTCAGAAGGCTGCCACTAACATCAATATCATCCTGCCTGGACCTCTTCTCTCTGCCTGTGAGAGACAAGCAAGATGAGCTACAGCTGACGTGTTGAGGCAGGCTGAGGTAATAGAGAGTGGGCAGGACTCTAGGGTTCCTAAAAAACTGGTGTTTTAAATTGAGCCACATTCTGGCCCATTAACCAAACCTCACAAATTTAAAAGAACTGAAATCAAACAGAATATGTTCTCTGACCATACGGAATCATACTAGAAATCAAAACAGAAAGTCTCTAACTATGTGGAAATTAAGCAACATACTTCTAGATAATTCATGGATCAAAGAGGAAGTACTAAAAAACACAACATATTAAAATATGTAGGATATAACTAAAACATCGTTGAGAGGAACCTTTATAGCACTCAAGGCTTTCATTAGAAAAGAGGAAGGAATTCAAAACAATAATCAAAATTCTGATCTCAAGAACCCAGAAAAAGAAGAGCAAATTAAACTCAAAGCAAATAGCAATAAGGAAGTAATAACGATAAGAGCAGAAATCAATAAAGACAGAAAACATGAAAAGAATAGAGAACATTAATGAAACAAAAAGCTGGTTCTTAAAAAAAAAAAAAGAAAGAAAGAAAGAATAAAATTGACAAATTTCTACCAAGACTGACAAACACAAAAGAGAGAAGACATAAATCACCAATATCAAGAAACAGGACATATTAAAAACAGATCTGTAGCCACTGACAGTATAATACAAGAATACTAAGAACAACTTAATTCAGCAACTCGGAATAAATTAATTCTTCAAAAACCATGAACTACAACAACTCAGCCAAAATGAAACAGATAATCTGAATAGTTCTATTAAAAGAACTGACTTACACTTAAGCATCCCAAAAAGGAAATGTCCAGGCT